AAACATCGACCAGACTACACAGCGCAACAACCCAGAAGACAGAAATCTTCATACTCATCGCCCTGATGACGGAGGCAGTATGACCTCTGAAACGTTGGTTAACATCTACCAGACTACACAGCGCAACAACCCAGAAGACAGAAATCTTCATACTCACCACTGAGAAAACCTCAAATCTTACAGGACAATTTATGTTTGAATATTGACAATTCCCATTGTAATATACGTATTCTTCGCCTCCAAACCAATTACTAAATCTTATAATCGATGGTATCTTAAAATCTAGGAGATTCGATAGTTTATTTTTATTAATTTATATATTTTCAGATAAAATAAAACATTTCTTCTATATCGGGGCTCAAACACATGACCGTTTACATGACGCAGCCAGCGACCAATGCGCTGAAAAATCTCACATCGCAATGGTTTTCTACCATTGATTTTAAAAGAATAAGGGAAGGGATTGTGACATGTAAAGTAAGATATCAAGTTCTCAAGGCGGAGAGTACTAAGATAAACGGTGTTAATGGATGTTACGTCGTGCAGTCTCATATAAATTAACCGACGTTTTAGAGGTGCTTACTGCCTCCATCATCAGAATACACTAATGATGTTGGTAGTAAGCACCTCTAAAAAAATTAATCAGTTTGTATTCTATTACACGGACAGACGTAAAGTTAGAAAGTCACTTTATATTCTTGGGTATTTGGACTTTGCCCATCGTTTGCTATCAGAAACATTTCGCAAAGATTTGATGACTGGATCTTTCGTCGTCTTCAGTTGTGCTGGGGTCCGTTAGAATGAGCTAGTCTCTGTCACCGGAAAATATAAATCGTGCAATTGCAATTGTCCAGTGACAGATACTAGTTCTATCTAAGGGACCCAGCGGAGTAGGTACCTCTCACCTGAAGACGGAGACAGAACCAGCCTCCGAAACGTCGTGATTTTAAAGAACAGATGGTGGAAAAAGTCCCGAAGATTAAGGACGCTGTTTATCGTTTCAGTGTGCTTAAATTTGATTTAGAAATTCCGAGGAGACATCGCGAGAACTGACCAATAGATTTAAAACAAACTTTTCCCGTCGGACATGTGAATGCAGGAAGCCACCGCCTTCTACTTCGTATCGTCACAAAACCTAACCTAACCTAACATAACCTAACCTAACCTAACCTAACCTAACCTAACCTAACCAGGTTCAAGTCAGGCATTATACTTTACAGACACTTTGTAGCACTGCAACACATCATGAATGATACGGTTCGCTGAACTATGACACAAGTTCAACATGGCGGCCAGGTCGAGGTACATCTGTCATATTATACGCGCCATTCTTAAACTTCCTACTCAATTCGTACGCCTGATGCATGTGTTACTGTACTGCATTTGTTTCGCCATCGTACGTCACGGTAGTGAATTAAGTAGGGCCAATCGGGATGCCTGGTTTGAATTCAAATTTGAAGCAGACACGAAACTGAATCTTTAACATAATGAAGCTAGGATATGTGTCACTTCGCAGCGACATTTCGGACAAAAATTTGCCTACCGGTAAGAAATTCTGACAGAAACCAAAAGTATTGTAACTTCAATCTACAATTATATGACGTCCCCTCAACTGGGTTTAAATTTATAAAGTTTCTTATCAGTATTAATCACAGCGAATTCACATAACCAAATTGTATTATAACGTGAACTTACATCGCTAATTCACACATCTTCCGTTACTGAAGAGTGCGATATTGAGTAGATAAAATTTAACCTGGCTCAATTTCAACCAAAATAAATCTCCATACGGAAACTGACGTGTTCTTGCTTCATCATCAAAGTGTCTACACCGACGATCGACGCAGAAGTTACATCGTTGGTGATCTTTTGAAGCTTCACTATGAATATTCCCTTGGTCGATTCTCGTTTCTACCACTAAGCAAATCCCATCAAATCACTTGAGACCACAATCATCTTTAATCGGTAAATCCTACCAAAATCAAAGAAAATTCACACCTCTTACTGAGTCAGGCAATCCTAAGTAAAATGGAACGACTGTTATAAGACACCATTAACGACTTGGGACACACGTCTGGTGATACTAATGATGATAATAGTAGAAAGTGTGTAAATTAGATTTCATTTAGCTAGAATTTCTCTCTAGTTACAGAAGACAACTAGATATTAAAATGCATTCCCCCAGCTTTTATAAATGACGTCATCAAAGACTATGTCGGCATTTCGGAGCGTCAATCTGCGCGTCGTAAGTTTGAACATCCGTCACATTGGTATGACTGTTTGTAGTAAATTAGAAAGTACGACTCTGTTCTAGCCTGTAATGACATAACAGTCATACCTAATTTCGTGTAAATCCGTTTAGCCATTTCAGAATAAAACATTAAATGTTAAAATTACAACGTACAGAGTTACATAGTAAGGACCAGTGCACTTACGAGGGTGACAAGCACTGCGCGCGCACCTCCACGTTCTACCTGTCCGTTCCGTGCACCGACCGGGCCGTGCCGAGTGCAACTATCCACAGCGCTAGGGAGCTCAGCTAGCAAGCAATCTGGTCCCTGTTGTACGTTGTATGTGTGTGTCTTGTTGTCTGTACTAAGCATACTCGGAATAATGTAGTTTAGGGCAGTACGTTAGCTTTGAAAATATAATTCTGGCAACTCGTGAGGAGCTAATGATTTGTTACCAGGCGACGTGAGGTGATAAACTACATACGGATCCCCTCAGGCACCTCAAGTGCGGATGGATACAAACAGTGACGCATTTAACGCAAAGTACACATCAACCTCGGAGAAATAGTCTTAAAATGGTATAGTGTAATATAATCTGGATTTGTTTATTTAATATATTTTAAATATTTAAATGTTAATTATAGTAATATTTTAATATTTAATAGGAATTTTATTGTGATTAGACTGACAAGATTTAAACAAATATATATTTATCACAATATGACGCAACTTTATCATCTCATAGATAAGATTTGTTATAGAAAGACGTTTATGCTTACATATCGTCTGTTATATATTTATACGCGATGTCGGTCTGTATGGTGTGATACAGTATCTTTATATTTCACCTGTGATCATTCAGAATGCAAAGATACAATGAAAATATGCCTCAAATTCTGTGTATTCCAATATGTATTATGCTTTTCTAGTCTCGCTTTTTAAATATCAGAATACGTAGCAGGCTAGCCAGCTAACTAACGTAATATTGTTTGTTTGAATATAATGATATATATGAGAACTTTTTTGTGAAATTAATAAACTTATTCCCTAATGGAAATCACCTCTCATTACGAAATCCAGAGTGGTTGCCTTGCCAATGCCACTATTTGCACCAGTGACGACAGCAATCTTACCGTCCAATCGGACAGTGCTATTGTTATACCTGGCCCAACAAACCATCACGACCAACCACACGTTGTAAAACTCAGCGGAGTTATGTTAGGATTGACTAAGCTAAGACACGCTCCGTAAGCCCCTTACAGAGCACTAAAATTATGATATGTAACATTAACGACAATTACGTAAAAATTGTAAATTTATTATCGTAATTCTCTGTGGTGTAAGTTGTATGTTAACCTTACATATGTGGTTGTTACGGTAACCGATAGGTGGACACGTTAGGAAATAAATACTATCCTTCCGCGTTTGCTCTGTAATTTCCGCAGATTTTCAATTCATGACTGCCAACTCATGTTTAGTCATGCTGCAAAACGGTATGACTTACAGAAAACGTGTAATAAGCAAACATATGTCTTTATAAATTTCACATTTCCTTATTAAATATGCAGTATTTTTTTTTTTTTTGCACTGACAAATATTTTGTGCAAAATGTTCGTTATTACTTTGTGACTTTGGAAAAAAAAAAAAAATGGAATGTACTGAAAAATTTCAGTAAAACGTTTAAACATCAGTTTCTTTATGAAAATCCATTCGAAGGTTCTCCAGTCATGATACACGGACAGACGGACAGACATGACGAAGCTAGTAGTCCATTATTTAAATTTTCGCTGCTTATGTGCCAAAAGTTTGTATCAATGTCACATATAATATTCAGCACTCTCAAAAAGTCTTCTCACACAGATTACCAATAATTGTCAACTAATGTCAGACATTTGCCATATATTTTATGTGGGCCTATACGACACACTATTTCGCAATCCTTCTTCGTATTTGGGAGATCCCGAGTTCATACCTTGGTCCGCAGACGTGTTATCTTGTCTGTTTCCGTGATTTATCTCAGTCACTCCAGATAATGTCAGAAAATATTTTTCTCGAGTGTCTTAAGCCGATATGATTTTAAGCATGATGTTTTATGTTGAATTCCACGTAAGAAAAATTTGATTAACACCGACTGGAAAGATCTTAGCAACAGGTTTCTTTAAAAGAAATGTTGACATCGGTTCTTCCAAGTACCTCAGTCAGTGGCCTCTGTGACTCTTGCAAAACGTACGTAGCCTATACAGCATAAGACTCAATACGGCATGATCAATATGTTTATTGATTTTGAAAGAAAAATGTCACGGAAATTTACAGATTTATATTTTATATAAAATAATGCACACAAACATAACTGTTTACACTTTGAAAAGACAGATAGTGCCAAACGCTTTTCGACCACAAGAGGTCATTTTCAAACAAATTTATTCATATTAAATCATAAAATTCATAAAACAACGTTTTTTTTATAAAAAATAAAAGGTCCCACTTTCCAAAGCCATACTTTATGTAATACCACACTGGAAGTTAATAACAATTTATAATAATCAATAAAATCTAATTGGTTACACCAAGTGACCAACGTTTTGTGTAACTAATTGATGTGGCTGATAGCCCGAGAAGATTTTACAGATTTTATTCGCTGTGAAAGCTTCAAATCATGTGCTTTTTCACGCTACAAAATGTCTGAATTGAAATAAAAATAAGTTCAATCCAACACTAAAATATTACCTCCTATCTCACGCCTCGTACTCCATAGACCAGTGGTATTCAACCTGGGGTACGCGTACCCCTGGGGGTACGCGAAGACATCTTAGGGGGTACGTTAAATTTAAAAAAAAAAATTATTATATGATAAATACTGAATAATCAGTAATGTAATTTATTTAATTTATTTTAGATGTAGATTATATACTATGTATAACTTGAATTATACACCAACAAATTTGGGGGTACAAAGTTGGAAGAGAAATTATATCTGAGGGTACGCGAACAAAAAAGGTTGAATAACACTGCCATAGACGAATTTACTTGAACCAAAAATTCTCAGCTATTATAATACATGTAAGCAATGGGGGTTATGATTTATCATGTAAATATGAGGTGCGATCAGAAAGTTTCAAGTCTGTGTCAATAGAGGGCGAACCGGATGTAGTACGAGCTTCTGCCGCTAGGAGGTGCGGCCTACATTCATAGTGAATCAGTGTGCCAGCCGGCATCATCGAATTAGCATTTGTTTCTTAGTTACGGGCGTTTTGGTCTAGCAACGGGTCGCATTATCAACAATGGGCAAGACCAACAATACGAGTTGCAGGCGATTGAGGTGCTGTCATCTGGTGGCCATAGTTATATATCTTTTTTACAATGTATCCACAGATTATATTAATCCGCTCTCCCCTGTCTCAACGACAGTCGAAACGGGGAGGAGGTGTACAGTTCTATGTGTCGATGGTTCGCTTGGCCTACGCCCCAGACAAGGATTGTACTCAAACACAACAAAATACAATTGGCAATGAAACTATTTAATTTCTTAATACAAATGCCACATATACACATTACCAGGGGTCATTGATAAAACTATTACAAACAAGAAAACTCTTAATTAAAACATATAAACACAACAAAGTCCCCACGACACGGTCCACTCTCGGCAATACACAATTCGTCTCCCCGGCTAGACAACCCAGAGGAACCAAGTGGCTGCCCCGTCCACCAACAAAACAATTCGATAACAATCAGGACGGGCAACTACTACAAGAAAACACATACAAACCAAAGTCCCCTCGAAGGGAGTGCCCAGCCGGGAGACGTTGCCGACCGACCTTGTAGCTACAGCCAGAGAGAGAGTGAGTGACTGTGTTCTGGCGAGAAGAATTCAGTCCCCATCAGTTTCCCCTCATAAACCGGCTTAACCTCCCCGCACGCATGCGCAACCCTTTCGAAGATTAAATAATAAAGTAAAGCCCCCCGCGACATTCCCATGCAGGCACTTGGGGTCAGCGGGGGTCAAGCTCCTAATCTTTCTTGACATCGGAACCAGATGGGGGTGAGTGGTAGCATCACGCTCCGGCCGTGAATTACCCCCGGGTTAGGATCTCGGACCCATTGTAGAGGAGGCTGGGTGGGTCCCAGAGCCAGTCTGGACGCAGAGGCTAGAGGAAAAATTCTCTGCCCCAATCGGGGATCGAACCCCGGTCGCCCAGCCCGTAGCTAGTCACTATACTGACTGAGCTATAGACAGCCGGCATAGCCCTAATTTAAATTGTTACGTCATTGACATTGTTGTACCTCATTAGTAAGTATTGTCGTGAACAATCAGGTTTTCTTAGTCTGGAAAGAACTGAGCTGTGAATCGCTTGTAGAAGAAGTGCGTCTTTACACTCTCTGAGCTTTGTTATTAATCGAATGTTTATTGGTGGTGAAATCTAGTTCCCTTCCCT